TGATGGTGTCCCGGTCATGTTGTGATGGTGTCCCGGTCATGTTTTGATGGTGTCCCGGTCGTGTTGTGACGGTGTCCCGGTCATGTTTTGATGGTGTCCCGGTCCTGTTGTGATGGTGTCCTGGTCATGTTTTGGCGGTGTGCCGGTTATGTTTTGATGGTGTCCGGGTCATGTGACGGTGTCCCGGTCATGTTGTGATGGTGTCCTGGTCATCTTGTGATGGTTTTCCCGTCATGTCATGTTGGTGTCCGGTCATGTTGTGATTGTGTCCCAGTCATGTTGTGACGGTGTCCCAGTCATGTTGTGATGGTGTCTCGCTCATGTTGTGACGGTGTCCCGGTCATGTTTTGATGGTGTCCCGGTCACCTTGTGATGGTGTCCCGGTTATGTTGTGATGGTGTCCCAATCGTGTTGTGACGGTGTCTCGGTCATGTTTTGATGGTGCCCTGGTCATTTTGTGATGGTGTCCCGGTTATGTGATGATGGTGTCCAAGGAAGAGATGGTCGATGTGTTGAAAACAGCAGCGGTTTCCAGATTTTTCTTTTTGTCCCGGTTTGTATCTTGCTATTGGGGTCTCCAGCTGGGCTAATTTCTGAACCGCTCTTGGGTATCCTTATAAGGAATCACTCTAAGCCCAATCAAAAAGCACAACAGAATACAATAACTAATCAAACCAGATCTCCACAGTAGAAGTCAGGAGTCAGGGGGCTACCTATGGAGGCATGGTTCAACTAGCAATTCTATTGTCCATCTGTCTAACACTCTATCCCGTCTCCCATACCCTCGCCACACTATAGGCCTTGGCCCTTCCAGCCGGACTATCCAAGAACTCATCCAAGGCCAAAAAGGCCTGGCGCTGTACAATGAGTCTGATCTTTGGGAGAAACAGACCAGGGAACACAGAGACTGATCACAAACCTCTTGTTTCAGAGATCTGCAGTTAAGGAATGCATGGCAAAAGAACAAGGACGACACTTGTTACCTCCGATCCCAACATGGCGAGTGGTGCATGGTCGATACCAAGGATCCACTCTTCAAGGACATGATGGGTTTGTGCCTGGTATATCAGTACAGTACAGTATAGCCTAGTGACCTAGTATTCATAATAGGCTTCTCTGTGGCCCTCAATAAGGACCAGTCCCACGCAGCCTCACCATGTGATCACACCCTTTCTTCACAAACATTCACTGGGTCGAGGTCAAGCAATCACTTGTTCAGAGAAGTGCTGAAAGATCATCTTCAAACATGTTTCTGTGAGTTCTTTGCAAATATCCGGCTCGCATGTCCCCCAATCTATCGAACGCTCCCAGATCCTCATACAGAGCTTCGGAATAGCGGCCCTGAGCAGTGACTGTCATGCACTTCTTTCAGATGGCCTCCGCCCTAGTAGCGATGGCCTCCCACCTACTAGCGATGGCCTCCAAGTGGCTCTGAAGC